ACTAAAAAATAGAAAATATTTAGTTAAAATATGAAATTAAATATGAAATTTATTTAACTTAATTGATTAGTTATATTTATCTATAATATATATAATAGTAAATTCTTAAAACTGTAAATATTACCAATCTTAATAGCAGTATAAATATTTTAATACATTATAATTAATATAATTATGTATATTAAAGAAAACTTAAACTGCTCGAAAACATCGATAACGTGTAAAACCATGATCAATGATATAACTAATTTGGGTCTAACATTCAATTTTTCAAACATTAATTTTAACTAAAATAAAAGAAAACTTTGTGTTTCAAATCACAGATTTTGTATGAAATTGAATATTATTTTATTAATTAAAACATTACTAGTTTTATATTAACCTTAACTAATATTAATTTAAACTAATTTTATATTCTCATACATAATAGAATTTGATAGACAGATAATTTTAATTTAAAGAATCTAAAATATTAGTATTAAAAAGGTTTGATATTCGATTTTATGAAATATTATAGTAAAACAATATCTACTTCTTAATATCACAAAGAAAAATTTCTTAAAATAACATAAAAATTAAGGGGGAATGGCTAAAAATAGGCCACAAATTGAGTTCACTTGTAAAAGTATACCCCCCCTCCCAATTTAAATGTTAGCAAAAATTGGTCAAAGTAAAAAAGAAATTACTATTATCTCATACATGACTAAATAAAAAACGGATGGTCTAGTTACGATTATAACCCTACAAAGTCTGTTAAGCAGACTTCATAAAAAGTACTCTATTATTAAATATTATATTTTAATTTAAAAAATATATAAAAATAATAGGATTTAAAATTTGTTTCTATAAATTAAATATATACAATTATGATGTATATAAATTTAAATCTAATATAACTGAATTAAATTAGACCAACAATAATAAACATCATAACTGAATAATTTTAATTTAGGGTTATAGAATACTTTAGAAGTCTGCTCAAATCGTAACCGGAAATGAAATTTAAATGTTTACATAGACTGGAAATAATTAACCTAACCGGATATTTTAAACCTATTAAATAAACGAAACTTACCATTTGTTACCCTAAATTAAAACCCTTGACTCTCTGTAAAACGGTGCTGCACTGTTCTCCATTTTGGCCGGTAAGCCAAGTTCTCTTTCTGCTATTGTATTTCTTCTCTTCTTTTTTATCTCTTCACCTCTTATTTGGTTTCTGCTGCAGATCTTATTTGGTGCTGTCTTCATCCTCCTCTCTCCATTTTTCTGCTTGTAAGCCTTACTACTCACTCTCCAACTACATCTCTTCTATCTTGTTTCTGATGCATATCTTGTTTCATCTATCTCACTTCTTATCTTGTTGCTGCAGATCTTATCCGGTGTCTTCATCCTTCATATCTTCTCTTCTGACCTGTAAGTTCTTCACCAAATCTTCCTCTTTTTAGTCTGTATCATATTGTTTATATGTTTGTTCCATCGTCCTTACACATTGTCTTTTTTGTTGACTATTATTGTTGCAGATCTAAGGCCCAACTCGAGAGCAAGTAAGTAAAATTTGTTTTCTTATCAGATTTGATATTTCAGCATATTTTTTTGGTAAAGTTTATTTTTATTATTTTTTTTAGCTACAAATAATTAAAATGATGTTATGCGTTTTTTTTTTGTTTTTTTTGTTTTTTTTTGTTTTTAGCTACAAATAATTATGTTTTTCCAATGTATAAGTTCGACTGCTCGACGTCGGTCCGGTGGAAGTTTTGGATTTTCCATCTGTTGTCACTGCGATTTAGTGCCAGTGCTCCAAACATCCTCCACAGCCTGAATCCAGGTTGAACGTTCTATAGATGCCGTAATACTGAGGTAATTAGTGGTTTGTTGTATTGTTTGTATGCGATTGGTTTGTGAGAATTTTGTTTTTTGTTGAATATGGTTCTGTCTGTGATTGAAAAGCTTAGGTTGGTTGTGGAGTAACAGGCAGACTTCATTCGTTACTTCAAATTTGGTGATTACCAAGCTGTACAGAATTGTATATATTAACAAGCCACAAATGGAGACAATGTGGCGTATGATTCTGAGCTTGGGTACAAATATAACACAACTAAGGGACCAACTTTTGGAGAAGTGTTTGGGAGGCTTCAAGTTGAATCATGTGATGGTGGCCGGTACAATCCTGATAGGTGTGATCATTTTGTGTGTGTTTGTTTGAGTAGATCCTAGTTCTTCTCGAAAGAGAATATGAATTACAAACCTTTAATTATGTTGTCTGAAATGTATGTTTAATTTATATTTGTGCCATATATCGCAATAGAATGTCAAATTCTTACCGCAGACTGAATACGCAAATTGAAAACGCAGACTGAAACCAAATAAAATTTTACGTTAAACCAATTAAACTAACCAATTAGAATTTTAAAATAAACCAAGGTGCTTACCAAAATAAATTTGAACTAAACCGTACTTGAATCAGTGTTGAAATTGAATTGGTACATATGGGTACGTGAATCATTGCTGAAATTGAATCGGTACAACCATACCCGAAAATATACAGACATATATAAGTTTTTTTACAGAGTGTTAACATAATATCGGTAAAAAATTTTATTGACTGTGATAATTTCTCTCTGCAGACTCGACAGATTCTACAGTATACGCCACCATACGGTATATGGTAAGCCATAATTAATGCAGACTTCTCTTGCAGATCAGGATCGAAGTCTGTGTTATCCTAAACCATAATCCTCTTTGGTTTCTATTCCATATCTGGTGTCACCATTGGTTTCTGTCGCTTTTGGTTTCAGCCGCTGTTGCGAGTGTGTTCGAAGGTATGTTGCAGATTTGGGTTAGTATTTTTTAATCCGACAACCATAGTCGGTTATATCGTGTGGGGTTTGAATCCCGTAACCGTATTTTTTAAATTCGTGTAGAGTTTGAATCCCTAGTGTTAGAGAACTCTGTCACTGTCTCGTTTTCTGGTAAAAACCGATATGCTTAGTGTAATAATGCATGTTAGTGTTAGATATACTCTGTGGACATCTTGATTTTTGGTAAAATCGAGAGAAAACCGATCTGCTTAGTGTTATATAACTCTGTCGGCGTCTAGATTTTTGGTAATTGTCAGAATCGACATGTTGATGCTAAGAGAATCAAGGGTTACTTCTAGCTTCACATTTTAAATTTATAACCCTAAATATCTGCAAGTGCACAGATGTACGCTGTAGTACTTAGGGGTCGAACCACAAAGATTTTGAGCTTTTAGTGCGAATCAATCAAGACTTAAGACTAGCAGAACAAGCAAATGAATGTTTTTGGTTTTTGTGTCACTAAATCTAAGTGTAAATCGAAATAAACAAGTTGTAAAACAATAAGAAACAGGCGCTGGGTTCAAAGGGTTTTCGCAGGGGTTCATGAACTGATCAAAAGACATACAAATCGATAAAGGTAATCATCTAGTGAGATTTCGAACTAGAATATACACATATAAGATTAGCCAACTGTCGTCACCCTAATCATCTAATCACTCAACACAGCAATTAACTCTCGCTCTCATGCTGCGAATAAGATCATGCATTGTACACAGAATTCATCCACGCTCACGATTCTCTACAGGTAGCTTTTGTCTCCTGTAGAGAATTCGCTCGATCACTTCTAGGTCTGGTAATTCGATACAGCACTTTCGTGGCTCCAATTACTGAAATCAATTTTTAAGCGGCTAGCAACAGAAAACATAGTGAATAAGAATGAACGAAGGACTCCTAGAAGATCAATAACCCTAAATCGAATAAAGCATATAATCAAGACATGAAATTCCCTTTGAAAAATCCCTTAAAAACCCAATTGGGAAATTACTCAGACATAGTTGAATTCAACATCACAAGAGTATTTAGAATTGCAGAGAATTGAAATAGACAGAGTTTAGAAACGAAGAACAAGTTGAAGAAGGAGGGCCGATGGTGACCCTCTCGGTGGCTCCTCTTCTGGGCGAGCTTCTCTTCTAGGGTTCCTGGTGAAAGATGTGGCACCCCTTTCTAAACGACTTGAAAGGGGTTTATATAGTGTCTTGAGTCCTCGGGAACGCCTAGGGCTTGCAGGAATAATGACAGGAGTGACTTGGGCTTTGATATGGGCTTCTGAGGCTCGGAATTTAGCTCCCCACGGTCTAAAATTTTGCACCCCCGGCGGATGATGTTCTGGCCGCGGGTGAGCTTTTGACTGACTGTGATGATTTTCCTTCAGTTTATCGATCATATCTGGAGATATAACCGTTGGATTTATCTGATTTCACTTGTATTGGAAAGCTGGTTGTCTCCTCTATCTTGTATCAAAATTTGGAGATGATCGGACGGTGAGAAGGCCTCTGTTTGTTACCAAACTTATGACAGTCTGAATTTATCCAAAATTATGCTTTTTTCTCCCAAGTGCATTCCTTTTGTCAAAATATCCTGAAAACTCTTTTGAGATACTAAAACATAAAAATCATTTAAAAACCTTTAATACTGAGTGAAAACACCTGCATAAGATATTAAAAGTGATCCATAAAAGTGGTCACAATCAGGTGTTATCACATATTTAAAGTTTCAGACTTCTTTTCAGACTTTTTTGCAGACTTCTATTGAAGACTTCTTTTTCAGACTTCTCTTGTGGAATTCTCTGTCAGACTTATTTTTCAGACTTCTCTTGTAGACTTCTCTGTCAGACTTCTTTTTCAGACTGCTCTTACCGCATGTTTCTCTTAACGCAGACCTCTCTTTCCATTTTGCAGAATTTACCCAATCCAATGATCAAGCCAGAATTCCCGCTGCATCTATTCTTAAAAGGCGATGAGCCGTATCCTCTTAAAAACATAGACTACTATAGTGGTGAGTCGAAGCTGATGACTTTCTTAGCGGAAGTACTATGAGAAGATGAATGAGAAGAGATTTGGAATTCCAGACTGGGAGTATTCTTAAAGTTCACTCAACTAGATTTTGATTGGGCATCTAGACTGGTGCATTACATTTTTTAGTATGCAGCTAGTTTGCAACAAAAAATTTGAGATATGGAGCCTCATAGGTTCAACTCTCGTACACTTTTCTTTGAATGAGTTTGAACTTATTACTGGGCTCAATTGCAACTATGTGGAAAAGCTTAAAGATACGAAGGTTGAGGTTACTGATGAAATGCAAGAATTCTGGGAGCAAATGGGAGTAAATCAGGAATTGGGCGTGAGTACTGAAGATTTGATAGAAGCTTGTAATGATTGTGGATCATGGTCTCGTAAGGATCGGTTGAGGATAGGATACCTAAGCATTTATTCTTCTTTTATTGAAGCACGAAAACCATCTTCAGCTACTCGGGTTAGTTTGGCTAGGCTAGTGATGGATTTAGATGCGTTTGAGAATTACCCTTGGGGAAGAGTCGTCTTAAAGAACCTGATTCGGTCGGTGAAAGAGAAAGATATTACGAAGTCGTCGTACACGATTAAAGGTTTTGTACAAATTCTCCAAGTTTGGATTTACTTTTCTCTTCTTGAATTTGCTGCTAGATTTGCTGAACCTATTCCAAACGACCCTACTCCACCACTGCTAGCTTATAAAGGATCCAGAGGGAGAAAGTTTATGAAAGAGAATATGCTGAGACAGGTAAATTTTCAGACTTGTTTATTTTTTAAAGGATGGTGGTTTAAACAGATATTGTTTTCTTTTATATAGACATGTATAAACAACTACGCTGTTAAGGATTTCGAGCAGATGTTTTCAGTCTGGGAAGATGATGATCATGATGAAGAAGATGTGAAAACTGGCAACATTGTGCGAGCAATGTTTGGACACTTTGGCACTCTACCATGGAAATGGGAGAGAAATCATTGGCCTCCAACAGGTGTGACCAAGTCCAATAACGTAAAGTCTGAAGTGGTGGTTGACCTGAAAAGGAGATCGGAATCACTCGGTGATGAAGAAAGTTAGAAGCGGTCTTGGGCAGGCACATATGATGAAGAAGATTCCATGGTTACGATTTTGAAGGATCATTGGAAGATTGCTTCCAGAAGATGATGACTGAGTTGAGTAGTTGTGAATCTCAGATCAAACAACTCAACACAAAACTGGTAGCTATCGAGCAAAATTTAGAAGCCGTTACAGGTGGCCTAAAGAAGGATGTGACTGATGGAGAAGAGTTCAAGTCCGCGGAAAATCCAGAGGATCCGAAACCCTGTGACGAAATTCCGACAGACATAAATCTTGACATTAGGGTTAGTAAAAAACCCCTACAAAGAAATTGAAAGAAACCCCAAAAAAAATATACTTGTTTTCGAATTTGTTTTTACCCTAAACTATGAACCCACTTTTAATACTTTTAAATCTGTCTAAACACATTTTACTACTTTTAAATACGTTTATGCTGATGTTGTTTTGCTGTTATTTGACTTATGGTTGCAGTTGTTGAAATAATTGTACTTGGTTTGGCTTAATGTTTTTGTTGAATCTCTATACTTGCAGAGTAATTTTAAGTCCATGCAAGATGATCAAAATAATGTTCCGAGTGAGAGCGTGAATGATGGTAAGGATGCAAGTGTTGAACCAAGCACCGTCATGGTTGATAAAGACAAATGCGACATTGACTTTGAGGCGTTCCAGCAAGAGAAAGCAGACAAAAGCAAGAAAGCGGCACATTGCACGAGCAAAGAGTGATAGACAGCGGAAGTTGTCTACTTCACAACAGAGTCCTTTCAAAGGCAACAGCACAGCAAAGAAAATCATCCCAAATCGAAGATTGCCAGGGTGTGGATATGATCCATTTGATATGACTTGTGTTAAGCAAAAGCTCAAAGTCCTAACCAATTATCTGAAGCTTGATCCGTAAGTAATAGTTTAGGGTTTATATATCCTTAGTTTTTTTCGTTAACTTAAATTGATGTGGTTTATATTTTTTACAGCAATCATCCCAAATAGATCGAATGGTCTTCACTTGACTGGTACTACATTCTAAGAGTCCCGAAACAATGTTTAGTGGACACTGTAAGTTAAAGTTGCCCTCATTAAAATATTTTGCTTCGCATATTTCATGGACAACTTCAGAAACATTTTTGTTTTTCTTGTAAACGCAGCACATGGAAGCTGGGATTAATCTACTCAGACTACGATTTGCAAAGCATCCTGAGTGGTTTAGGTCCAACAGGATCTGTTTCCTTGATTCACTGTTTGCAGTGATGTGGAGATCAAAGTACAAGGAGTTTAAGTACTACACAGGCAAAGCACCAACTTATTGCAAAAGTGAGAAGACCTGGGGGAACGATTTGGATGACTTGTACTTGATGTTGCACATAATTGACGATCACTGGGTGGCAATGTGGATTTCAATTCCAAACATGCACATTGTCATTTGGGATAGTCATGCAGAAAAGCATGAATCAGACAAAATTATTGAAGCAGTTGTGACTCCAATAGCAGTCTTGGTTCCTTACATACTTCGTGAGTGTGCTTCTGCTGAAGATCGGTTCACTCTTTCATACGATACATTCACTCATTAGCGGGTCAAAGGCTCGAGAATCTCGCAAAACAAGCAAAGCAGTGACTATGTCGTTTATTGTCTGAAGTACCTCGAATGCCATGTCCTTGGGATGCCATTTCCAAAAGCCTTACATAATGCCAATATCAAAAATGTCCGAGACAATATGGCAGCGGAAATATTCTACGAGACTAACATTAACGGTACAGAGAGATATGCGTATCAATGGTTGGATGTATATGAAGGATAATGTATTTCCAACTATTTATATTCTAAATTGTAAGATAAAAGGATTATGGTTGGCACTACAAGAAAACACCCGATTTCAGACGACCATATCCATCGGTAATCTGTTGGAAAATGTCATTCTGGACGGAATTCCGACAAAAAGAAGTCGTCGGGATCAACTCGTCATAAAAACAAATCCGTCGGAATTTCATCGGAAATTTCCGATGAATTACCGAGAACTCCAATTATCCAACAGTTTCCCGTGGACGCATCTTTTCCGATGGATTCCCGATGATGGATATTTTTCGACGGATTCCCGAGGATTATAGTCTCTGACAGATTACCGATGGTTGTTTAAACCGAGGAGTTTCCGATGATCGTTATTTTGTCGGGGGGTTAAATTCCGATGGAATACCGACGAGTTTGACAGTTTTCGTTTCCTAACGGATTTCCAACAGGTACTCATTTCCGACGGATTTTCGACGGTCTTTTTTATTACCGACGATTTTTCGACGGTAAACGGAAAATCAAAATAAAATTAATTTAAAACCTAATATTTAGATAAATAAAATTGTAATTTAATAATTAGTAAAACTGAAATTTATAAATATAATTACAATATTTTAACAATTTTAATATTCAAATAAAAAAAAAACTAAATCTAGGTTTTCGGATTTCCCGTTCCCGAACTTCCAAATCCCGGGAAGTCAGGGGATCTCGCCTTCATCCAATTTGTCATGGTTGCGACCTCCGATTTGGTCGTAGTGAGCTCCGATTTGGTCGTAGTGAGCTCATGTTGTGTAGCGTCCAACGTCTGCTCCAAATCCGCTGCTTTTGCCATGAGCTCTTTGTTTTGCTCGACGATATCTTCGGGATAATAAGAAGAACCGAAAGACTCTTGACTCGAGACAACATTACCTAAACCATGTCGGCGTCCTTTCTTCAATGGAAGTTCATGCACAATTAAAACAATAAGTTTTTAATACCAACAGCAAATCTATACAAAAAAAAATGTAAACAAACAAAAAAAAACTTACTTCGCGAACCAAACGGTTGATTTCCTCGTGCGACAAAAAGACGGGGATGAGGAGTCACCTTGTGACTGTTGACTGCTATCGACGGTCTGCGTCACCTTCTCATATATTTCATTCATTAGAGGATCCTGAATCACATTGCTCCCCTTCTTTGTGTGCACCTTCTTCATCACCTGAAGATGATCTGGACACACTACTCCAGTCTCTCTAGTCTATTAAAAAAAACACTTAAATGTTATAATAAAAAGTGAACAAGTATTGTAAAATCCCAAAAAAGATAGAAGAAAATTTACCATTTAGTCTTCTTGACTCAAGAAGCTAATCGATCCGGAGTTGTGAACATATTGTCCTTTACCTTTTTGGTCAGTCCTTTTGTTTGTGGAATTAGTCTTCGATCTCTTCTCCGTCTCGGGGTTCTCCCAATATGGGATGTAGTGTTCCCAGATAGTAGCATTCAACCCTTTCGGTTTTCCTTTCCCATTCCTCCAATTCTGCTTCCACTCGTACATGTTTTTTTTAGAATTGCCTAGCACACTCAGCAAGAAACAAGCCTTCCACCTTCTCCGTGCGGTTTGGATGCCATGTAAAATTTTGCTGAAAAACAAAAAATAATGTCTGAAATAATACTAAATTAAAAAAAAAAATTGAGTATTGAATAAATTGTTTGAAACTTACCGCAAACTGTTTGAACCATATGTTTTTCTCTTCGATAGAGATGTCAGAAAACTTCTTGTACGGTTTCTTGAGGATTGAATGCAGCATTCTCAAAACGCATTTGCCAATCCTGTTGTTCGAATATCCAAACCTTTAAACAAAATCTTGTTATTTTTATAAACATATTATCAAAAGAATAAAACGATAAAAAAATTTATTACCAAGTCGCATTTCTTTGCCGAAGTGGATCAAGCGGTGTGCATAACTCTCGTCCGGGCTCACCGAGTAAATTGTTAATACTCGTGTAGAATGCATCATATGATGGAGGAGCCGAGAAAAACTCTCCGGAACCGCGGAAATCTCTGGGATATCATCCAACTCCGGAAACTCCGAATTATCATTAGACTCCGTGATATGCGTATCCGTATGAGTCCTCGACCAAAAGCTCTCATTGGTACGTCGTCGTCGGGATTGAGATGACGTACCAGATATATAACCTTGGTATTCTCGGTACTGATCCCTTTAATAAAAAAAAATTATCTAAAGTTAAAAAAACATATAAATTGTAAAAAAAGACATTAAGAACAATTTTTTTAAAGAAAACTTTAATGTTTTAAGAAACATTTTTGAAAATTATCCAAAAATAAGTCCAAAAAAGTAATAACAAAATTTTGTTATAACAACAGTAAATGTGTTTTAAAAACAAATACATTATCTATCCAAAAATCAATTTAAATAAAATTTATAACAATTTTTATTTCTTATCTACAATAATAGGAGAACACGTTATCTTTTATTGATAAAATTTCTAAAAAAAACTATTCGAAATGATAAATAATTTCTTGTGAATATATTTGTTAGAACTAGGTTCTTGTATATATAGTATTTTACAAAAATTAGCAAATCAATTTTTTTGTTGACAAAAGTAATAATTTTAGAAATCAAATAATTTTACATATCTAACAAATCTAATAATTTTCCAAACTAAAAATTTTACAAACAAATTAACCACAATTATAATCTAACAATTCTAATTTTTTCTTACAAATCTACACTTATCAAATCTAACAACTCCTAACAAATCTCCTTAAATCTAACAAATTATACTAAATCTAAGAATTTCCATAAATCTAACAAATAACTCATAAATCTGGTTTTAAACAAACAAAAATCAAAGAAATCTGGTACTTAGGCCGGCGAACAGGGGCGGTGGAACAGGAGGAGAGACGGCGGCCACCGGCAGAGCAGGAGCGGCGGAGCAAGAGCTGCACAGGAAAAAAAAATTCAGAATACCAGAGAAGGGAAGAGAAAGGAGGAGAAGAGAAGAAAAGAAGAGAGGAAGAGGAGGAACTTACCAGGAGCAGGCGGCCCAGATCTGAGGAGAAGAGGTGGATCGATGGAGGAGATGAAAAACTCGGCGATGTTGTCGAGAAATGGAAGAAGAAGATAGGTTTAGAGAATAAAATTGTTAAGTCCACATTTATATCCAGTTTCCGATGTAGAAGTGGTCGGAATTCCGTCGAGACCCACTAAAAAAACCAAATTTTTCATTTGGCAGTTCCATTTCTCGGGTTAATTTTTAGAATCCGTCAGAAATCCGTCGAGAATTCTGACCGATTTCGATGGAAAATTAAAAATTCTGGTATTTAATTGTTCAGTTAACATCTGGATACATGTGTTGACCTACGATTATTAAACTTTCCGTCGAAAATCCATCGAGAATCACGACGGATTTCAGACGATTTAGAGTTTAGGGTATGAAAAATTGAAACTAAATTGAGACTTGGCTTTAAAAGAACATTCTTATATCCATATAACAACATTTAACATATAATTCAACATAAAACAAAACTTATGTTAATTTTTAAAAATCGAATAATCATCACATGTAACCCTTCATAAATGTATGTATTACTTACTTAGAACTTTAGGGTTTGGTTTAGGGATTTGATTAAATGATGAAAACAATCTTATATGCATATAATAATATTTAATTTATAGAATTAATTAATTATAAATGATAAGCTACTAGCTAGTTATTAAATTTACCTACGATAGCTTCATGAATGTTTTTAGGTAGAAGACCGGCGAAGGCAAATGGAAAGGAGGTGTTGCATAAAAACATGGCAATCATGACTCTTCATCCCACACAACTTACCTTCTCCACTATCAACGCAATTAAGTAGGTTAGATGCATATCCATCAGGGAATTTAAATTTTTTCTTAATTCAGTCGAATAATTCTTCTTTTGAAAGCGCATTTAATCG